TTAAATTAAATTCAAAGTTTGTCGCCCGCATGTGGTTTTCGGAAATTTTGAAAATCAGCTTTAATATTTTTTATTTAGACAATTTTTTAACCTGTTTTAATTGAGAGTTCATAACCGCTGGACCTGCCTTCTCAAAAATTTTATCATTTGTTCATCTTGTCAATACAAGTAAAATGTTTTCTGAATGATTAAAATTGGACGCTCCGTTCTCTTTAAAACTGAGTTACCGTTTTCGGCACTTTCTGCCCCGTATCTTCGAAACGGCTAGACCTGCTTTCGCAAAAAACTAACCAGCACCTTATCAATGCAAATCGAATGTTTTTTGAATTATTCAAATCGGTTGATCGGTGTTCCCGAAATCGTTGACGAAAATTTGTGTATCCGCACACAGCCACACACATACATCAATTTTTTCTAAGGTATGCCAAAATGTTCAAAAACTTTTGAAACGTAAAGATAAATTTTTATTTTCTATTTTTTTGCGATTACTATAACTAGCCCTACGTGATGTTAATAAGTTAAAAAAATGTCATTTGGCGGTCAAAATGTTTATTGGACATATGTACATCAAATTATCAGACATTTTAAAGATTTTAATAATGTGTACACATTTTGTGTAAATTTTTTTGGGTTTTCTTCTACCAAGATTTTTAAATACTGTACGGAAAGTTCAAGTAATTTGCCTTAAAGCATGATGCCATCATGCACCCCTCACCACACCAGTTTTCTAATTTAATTCGTACACATAGCTATTTTTTATCGTTAATCAAGCTGGCAAAGAGAAATTGTTAAAAAAAAAACTGTTATTGACGCCATTTTTCCGATATGGCGGCGCCAGTCATACATTAGTTTAAAGAGACCTCTCAGAAAGCATCACACCCGTGACCAAAACCCACAAGGATTTTGGCGAACGGTCATCGATGATGATCAAACTCCAAATGAAGTTCGAGCACCTTTCTCACGCTCAGGGTGCGATGCTACGACTCATCGTCGAGGTCGCATCAACTCCACGTTTGAGTGAAGAGATTGGGAAGACATACTACAGAAATGATCCTGTGAAGTATGATCTTGACGAAACGACGTTTCGACCGAAACAAGCCAACTCCTTTCAGGCTTGTGCGGCGATTACAGGTTAATGTAACCCAGGCTACAAAGCGGTGACATCTACTTTTTCATTTTCAACTCTTGTATATGCGCGTTTATGCTTTAGTTTGGTAGTTTCTTTGTAAATCGAAGAAAAGTGAAAAACTTTTCGTCCACGTTTTTGCGCGCCTTTCTGGCGCTCTACTGCAGGTAGTTTAATTTTAAAAATTCATCAAATTTTGAATAAATATTTCAGTCAAGATTAGTGCCTAAAGTCGCTTTTGTGATAAAAAAGTCAATCAAGTCAATTAGAAATGGCTTTGGAATTACAAAAAAGTAAATGAACAGTCTACAATATTTTTCTTGTTTTGTAAAAATTTTACCATTTATTTAAATCATTGAATAATATTTAGAACTACGTACATGATTTCCTATAGAAATATAAACAAAATTTGTACTTATTATTAAAAACTCTATAAATATATGATAGTTTGATGTGCATATGTCTTATAATCATTTTGGTCCGCCAAATGGCATTTTTTACTATTTTCATTTCGAAACCGCTAAATCAGCGTACCCAAAAATTAATCAGATCCTTATTTTGTCAATACAAGTACAATGTTATTTGAATTATTGAAATCGAAGGCTCCGTTTTCTCAAAAACTACGCTTTTTATCTACCCGTATCTTCGAAACGGGTAGACCTGCCTCTGCCAAAAATTAATTAAAACATCTGCTTCTCAATAGGAATCGAATGTTTTTTGAAGTACCTACATAACTATACATACACGCACATGCATTTTTTCTGAGGTATGCCAAAATATTCAGAAACCTTTGACGCGTGAAGATATGCAAGTATTTATTAAGGCCTGTTACTACTAGCCCCTTTCACGATACGGTCCTAGCAGCCATACTTCAAAATTGATCTACAGCACACGACTCATAATTTATCGTACTAACCGATCGACTTAATGCCAAATCATCAGGCCATCAGTAGTCAATCAATATATTTATATTTGATAAAATTTACTCACAAATCAGCTCTATGAGCAACACAATGAGCAGCGGTGAGCACATGTCTTCTAGTAATTAGAGCACCACCACATAACCATTTAGTTGATCCATTTTCTCCACGGTAGCCTAAAGCGGCAACCCAGGGCCATTCTCCTACAAATTTGGATGTTTTGTGTAATAAATAATATTTTAACTTAAACTATTTAAATTATATTTTCCAATTATTAAATCATCATATTACGGATATTATTTTCATGTAAATTCTATACTTTGCTCTCTTATTTATTTAAATTTACGTTTATTTTATCAATATTACTAGATGTTAACTATTTAACAGTTGTAATAAACATTGTAATTAAAAAAAAATTATTAAATCCGTAGATATTTCTGATCTTTTTATTGGTTGAGAAAATTCTCGAAAAAAATCTAAACAAAAATGAGTCAAATATTATTAACTTCCCGAAGGAGAAGTTTATGTTTTCATCAAAAAATCCGATTTGCTAATTTTATGTTTTCTCGACATTCTGAATCGAATGAGACCAAATTTGGAAAAAGTATGTGTGTGGGGTGTGCGTGTATGTGAACAGATTTTTTGCCGTAAATCCACGTTTTCTCAAAACGGCTGGACCGATTTCAAAAATTCAAAAGCCATTCGATGTATCTCGATGAGGACTATCGTTTGCGCTACGATCGGCCGTTTCTTTGTAAATCGCAGAAAAGTGAAAAATTTTTCGTCCACGTTTTAGCCCGCAATTCTGAATCGATTCTGAAAATTCAAAAACCGTTAGAAAGATATCGGTTGGGAATCGTGCTGACTAGTTTTTGGTGCAGATCGGCCTGGCCGTTTTCTTGTAATAAAAAGTTAAAAAAAAAATCTACAATTTTTCTTATTATTTTTTTGGCGGTAGATACCATAGTCTTCTAGATCATACTAAAATATTACCGCCCTACGACAACTCGTTTAGCTTTAAAATTCGTCAAAGTTTGCAAAAATTGGTGTCGTTTTTTGGCATTTGTTAAAATTAGACCTTTCATCGACGTTTGCTCAAAAACGCCTGAACCGATTTGAGAAATTTAAAAGCTATTCGATGTATCTCAATGAGCAATATAGTTTGTCAGTTTTGTGACACGATCTGCCGAGCCGTTTCTTTGTAATTTGAAAAATAGTGTTAAACATTTTCGTCCACATTTAAGCTCATTCTACCGAAGCGATTTTAAAAACTCAAAAACTGTTCGAAAGATATTAGTTGGGAATAATACTGATTAGTTTTAGGTGAAAATCTTCCGAGCCGTTTTCTTGTAATTACCTATTGAAAAAAAAAATTAAGCCGATTTTATGAAACTTTCTTTGGCGATGTATATCATGGTCTTATAGAACTTACTGAAATAATACCTTAATAGGCCTTACGACAAGTAGTTTAATTTTCAAATTCATCAAAATTTGAGAAAATGAGTAGTTTTGTTGACATTGCTAAAATTAAAATTAGATGATTTACTTGGTACAACGATAGATTACTTGGTCTTAATGAACATACTAAACCATTAAAGTCCTACGAAAATTATTGATTTGTGAAAATTTGCTTTTAGAAAATACCCCGAGTTAACGTGTTCATTCGTTTTCAATTATGTGTAATAAATCCTCTCGGAATACTCCTAATCACTCATAAATTAATTTGTTTATTATTGATTAAGTCGATTATTTACACATATCGAGAAGTTCATGTAACTTGCCTCAAGGCTAAATAACAATACCAACTAGTTTGGGCATTTTTTTAATTATAAATTTCGAAAAAATATCTTATCTTCTAAGAAAAATTTTCAGCTAAAATTCTAAAGCTCATTTATATAGTTAATAATTTTTAACTTTTAGTTATTTAGTTTATACAATTCTTATGAAAATTAGACAATATCCTTCACTTCAAATGCGGTTGGTTAAGTTTTATTTATTTACTCTTCATGTAAACCAATATAAATATCGTCGTTGGATTTATAAACCTTTATATTTTGTCTATAAAATATTACAAATTATGAAATTTACTGCGTTTATAATAATACATTTGGAACTATTTAATATTTATTTCATATAATGGAAACTATTTAATTTCATTACTGGACGTACGGAAAGTTCCAGCCATTTGCCGTGAACCACTAGTTCAAATTCGGTTTTTTTCTATTCAGAATGACTTGAAACATCGAGGAAACGTAAAACTAGCAAATCAGATTTTTTTGCAAAAGCAAACTTCTCCTTCAAAAAGTTAAATATTGTTTATGCCACATTTAGTTTCATATTTCATATGACTACCATTTGCATTAGCTAGATAAATATCAATTATCAAGTTTGAAATAAAATTTCAGAAAGCATGATAAATGCTGAATTGGAATAAATGACATATTATGAAGTTCCATCATGTACTCGTTATAGGAACTCGTTCACCTAATGCACTTTTCTAACTATAGAATAAACGCGCATAATACTTACAACACTCATTCTATAAACAGCAAGAGTTGAAAATGGAATGTTAGATGTTAGATGTCACCGCATCGTATACCTACGTCACGTTAACCTGTAATTGCCGCACAAACCTGAAAGGATTTTGCTTGTTTCGGTCGAAACGTCGTTTCGGCAAGATCATACTTCACAGGATCATTTCTGTAGTGTGTCTTCACAATCTCTTAACTCAAAAGTGGAGTTGATGCGACCTCGACGATGAGTCATACCATCGCACCCTGAGCGTGAGAAAGGTGATCAAACTTCATTTGGAGTTTGATCATCATCGATGACCGTTCGCCAAAATCTCTCGTGGAATCTGGTCATGGGTGTGATGCTTTCTGAGAGGTTTCTTTTAAACTTCATATTATTGTGGTGATGACCTTTTTGCGAATTTTAGCTTCGCACCTAAACAATATTGCAGTGAGCATAAAATTATGTGCAAAATGCAACAATACTACTGTTTTCGCGCAGAGTCATCGTTTTAAATATCGAAAATCTTTGAAAAGTAAGTTGTGTGCTAGCTCGTTTTTTTTCACGGGGTCTGTTGTGATTTTATTTGATTCGGAACACTTACAAAATAATATTTGTGAATTTGTTGGCAAAACTAAAAAAACAACTAAATTTATTCCTAGGAGTCGTAATTTTCAAATGTTTTGTACAGTTTTTCTTGATCTACTTCTTCACTTTAAGTATGAGCTTTTCCTGGTTTAAAAAAAATGTTCAGTTGGAGTTCGAGCAATATGTAAGATGAGTAAATCAATATCTTCACCAACTACAAAAGTACTTTGTCACACTAAATTGCTTCATCGCTGTTTCAATAATTAGTCATCAGCATCATTATTAGCATGTTTAACTGATATTTTTTTAACAGTAAATTTAGTTTTGAACATTGAAATGAACCGTGATTTGTTTGTGACTATTTGCGAGGAACTGCTCGAACTCGAACTGAACAAATTATTCATTTCTTTAAACCAGGAAAAGCTTATACTCAAAGTGAAGAAGAAGAAGATCGAGAAAAGCGAGACGAAAAAGATGTCGAAACATTTGTAAATTATAACTCCCTGGAATAAATTTTGTTGCTTTTTCGCAAAAAGGTCATTTTTTGACTTTTGACCTTGTGCCATTTTTTTTAGCTCGCATCGGATCGATGAGGACATTTGAGATTTCTTTTATAACATTTTTAAACAATTTTGTTAAGTTATTAATTATTGTAACCCTGATTCAATTAGAATGAAAAATGGAATAAAAAGTATAAAATATATAGATTAGCGATGCATGCTGCAAATGCATTTTATTTTTGTAGGTTCTGTGGTGTGGTTGGTCATCACATCTGCTTTACGCGCAGAAGTAAAATTGACCGGGCTCACAATCAATTTAAAAATAAGTTGACGTTTTTTGTATCTCGCTGAAACTTTAACTGTCCTTGTATCTATCATTCCTTAGTTTTCTTTAGTTTTTATTTCTGTTTTATTACAATACATTACAATATAGTATACAATAACCATGATTTATGAGCTTACTACTAAAAATCTATCATTCCTTTGAATAAGAAGAAACATTAAAAGTGCATAAAATTGGGGCGTCGTTGTTATTGAAACGCTGTCAAGATAATACAATAATATAAAGTTTAAAAGAGACCTCTCAGAAAGCATCACACCCATGACCAGAATCCACGAGGGATTTTGGCGAACGGTCATCGATGATGATCAAACTCCAAATGAAGTTTGATCACCTTTCTCACGCTCAGGGTGCGATGCTACGACTCATCGTCGAGGTCGCATCAACTCCACGTTTGAGTGAAGAGATTGTGAAGACATACTGCAGAAATGATCCTGTAAAGTATGATCTTGCCCAAACGACGTTTCGACCGAAACAAGCAAATCCTTTCAGGTTTGTGCGGCGATTACAGGTTAACGTGCCCCAGGTACACGATGCGGTGACATCTAACATCTAACATTCCATTTTCAAGTTTGCTTATAAAAGCAGCGTTGAACGTAAATGAGTACATGATACACAACTTCATAATATGTACATTATTTTTTCTATTTCAATATTCGTCATATTTTCTTTAATTTTATTTTTACCTAGCTAATACAGATAGTAGTTACGTGAAACATGAAATTAAATATTACATGTCACATAAAATACGATTTTTAACTTCCCGAAGAAGTTTGTTTTCGCCAAAAAATCAGATTTGCTGATGTTATGTTTTCTCGAAGTTTCAAGTCATTCTAAATCGAATGAGACAATATATAGAAAAAAATGTGTGTGTATGTGAGTCGAGCTTTATTAACTTCCCGTAGGGTAAGTTATAGTAATCGCAAAAAAATCGAAAATGAAAATTTTTATATATCTTTACGTTTCAGAGGTTTCTTAACATTTTGGCATACCTTAGAAAAAATGGATGTATGTGTGTGTGTGTGTGTGTGTGTGTGTATGTATGTATGTATGTATGTATGTGTGTGTATGTATGTGCGGATACAAATTTTCGTCGACGATTTCGGGAACACGGATCAACCGATTTGAATAATTCAAAAAACATTCGATTCGTATTGATAAGGAGACGTGCTGATTAGTTTTTGGCGGAGGCAGGTCTAGCCGTTCCGAAGATACGGGGCAAAAAGTGCCGAAAACGGTAACTTAGTTTTTAAGAGAACGGAGCGTCCGATTTGAATAATTCAAAAAACATTTCACTTGTATTGACAAGATGAAGAATCGATAAAATTTTCATGAAGGTAGGTCTAGCGGTTTCGGAGATATGGAGGAAAAAGTAAAAAATGAGCCATTTGGCGGTCAAAAATGATCATTAGACATATGCACATCAAATTATCAGATATTTTATAGAGATTTTAACAATAAGTATACATTTTGTTAACATTCCTATGGGTTCCGTACCAATGCTTATGCGTTAAACAGCGACGCGGGACTTACGTCGCTTTGTCTCTATGCAGTTAAAGCAGTACGATTGCTTTGAAAAGAAAGTTCAGATCTTCCACAATATGTCAAAATAAAGAAAAAAAAAATTTTTTCAAAAAAAAAAAAATTAAAAAAAAAAATTATTTTTTAAAAAAAAATTTTTTTTCAAAAAAAGTAATTTTTTTTTCCAATTTATAGTTTCTCAAAAATCTTATTTTTTCAAAGTAATTTTTTTTCAAAAATGTTGATCGTTTTTAAAAAAATAATAATTTTGGTACGGGAAGTTCCAGCAATTTGCCTTAAGGCACGATGCCCTAATTGCCTTAAGACAGAATTCCACTTACAGCTAGTTTTCGATTTTTTTGCGATTACTATAACTTACCCTACGGGAAGTTCAAAAAAAAACTAGTTTAAAAATTTGGGCATACATTATGAAATATCATCAATAATTACACAGATCCACAATATAAAAAGTTGTCTGTATAGGGTGTACGACCTATCTTTTCCAATTTAGTGCTTACCGCCAAACACAAGTCAAAATGGGGGTCAAATGGCAAAAAATTGAATAAATGTAAAAAAAACGACAAATCTCGGATCTAGTCATTCTTCTGCATACTAATCAAAATCTTATAATTACTGTCGCTTACTGTTTTTTCACCTCAAATGAGTATTGAGTTTCAATTAAAATATCTATTATTTTTTTTGTATAATTCAGTAGTAATTTGCAAATATATTTTTTCCCCATTGCCCCTGAGTGATCTGAAACTATGTTCCAAATTGTATATATAACTAGTGGTGTATGGCATCATGCCTTAAGGCAAATTGCAGAAACTTTCCGTACCAAAAATTAAATTTTATAAAAAAAGATTCTTTGAAAAAAATTGATTTTTGAGAAATTTTAAATTTTTGAAAAAAAATAACTTTTTTTAAAAAAAATAACTTTTTTTTAAAAAAAACTTTTTTTTTAATTTGAAATATTCTGGAAATTTTGAACTTTTTTTAAAGCAATCGCACTGCTTTAAATGCTTAGAGAATAAATATAGAAGCGCGTAAGCGCCGCGTCGCCGTCTAACAAACAAACGATGTCTAACAAAACAAAGATCTCCGAAACTGCTAGCCCTGCCTTCTCAAAATTTAATCAGTTCTTCATTTTTTCAATACAAGTCAAATGTTTTTTGAATTCTTAAAATCGGTTGCTCCGTTCTTCTCGATCAGCCTTCGCCAAAAACTAATCAGCACGTCTCCTCATCAATACTAATCGAATGTTTTTTTGAATTATTCAAATTGGTTGATCGGTGTTCCCAAAATCGTCGACAAAAATTTGTATCCGCACACACACACGTACATCCATTTTTTCTAAGGTATGCCAAAATGTTCAGATACTTTTGAAACGTAAAGATATATAAAAATTTTTATTTTCAATTTTTTGCGATTACTATAACTTACCCTATGGGAAGTTAAGAATGTATTGGCAAAATACTGCTGTATTCTACAAAAAAATAGTAGATCATTTACGTGACTACTAAAATTATTATATCTTAAGTATCATGCAGAAGAAATACTAGATCGAAAATTTTGTCAATTTTTATTATTTTTTCAATTTCCAATTTTACCCGCAATTTGACTTTAGATTAGTGTCCAGCGGTAAAAAGTACATTTGAAAACATATGCCGCACACCCAATACAGACAACTTTTTTTACTTTGTATTAAATAATCACATTACAAAATATCCAAATTAAAAAAATACAGTGTACTGAAAAGTAGTAAACAATACAACGAATGGACACACAAAACAAGAAACATTAAAATATTTCATCTAGTTTTAGATTTTTTTTTTTTGAACAGCAATCAGAACTATCCTTAGTGTTCAATAAGTCCTTAGTCTAAGTTCTTAGTCTTGGGACATAATTTCATTACCTATTGTTATAGGAAAGCCAACCAAGTGGTTGTTATAGATTAAATATTTTAGCCCCAAAATATATTTTCACTTGAAATTATTTTTAGATGTATATTTGGAAGTGAACGATACTAGAACCTAAAACTTTGTGTTTACAAGACCTATGCTTTTCTTATTAAATTTCCTCCTTCTAATGGAATCAAATTTACATAAATGTGTTTTGAATTAATTTGATTACCTTGCTTAGATGTAATTCCGCCTATGAATGCAAATCCGCCGTGATCCCGCAAATTTCTACTTCTGTTTCCACATTGCTGCAATTCACCACTAGGAAGTTCAAATCTGTTTTCAATTTTCTCATTTTTTTCTGGGTTTGGTTCATCAAATGGAGAATGCCCAACAGGGCAACATACCTAACAAATTTTGAATTAACAATATAAATATATTCATACATTTACAGTATAGTTAAATATATTCATTCAGTTTCATGCATTTTTTGTTTCATTCAAGACATAAATATGAGTAATTACTTTAACATTAATTACTTATTGATATACAATAGATATATACCTACAATTATTATAAAGTATTTTTCCTAAATAATAACTATCACAAATACAGGAATATATATATATATATATATATATATATATGAAATATGGGACTATTTATTAGGGGGAAGTGGCGGACACCTAAGATTATTTATAAGTAAATCAAAAAATATTTTTTGTAATGTTTATTAAATTATGACTTATGTTAGATAAAAAAGTTAGAAATCAAACTCAATTAACTAAATTAACTAAATAAACAAAACTAAATTAACAAAAACGAAAAATAATTAATATTATCAATCAAACTTTGGTAAAAAAATATGATTTTAAAAAGTGGCACCTAGTACCGGACATTTCAAAATAACCTGCATTGATCATATATGTAGCAATATCCACATTCTGGAATGTCTGCACATGTGTGTTTGACGAATATTCTTGGATATTGCAAAAAAAAATCACTATTCATCCACACTTTTAGCTGGGCCACACCGATGCTCTCAGCTGGTGCATTTACCATAAGCTTTCATTCTTTGACTAGGATATACGAAAAATGGGGATATGTAGTGATCGTTAGCACTCATACTGAACAAAATTAAATAATCGAAATAATTACGTAAATTTTCACAAGAAATATCAATATGTTTACTGTCCGGCATTACGGGACTTCTCCCTATGATCCATGCGTGTTTTCAAATCAATTCAATTCAGAAATATATATTTCATTACAATCATGTAATGTACTGTTATATATCAATATAACAGTACTTTCGTAGACAAAAAATTCAAAGTATATGATATACGTGTGGCAAAAGAAATCTGAAAAAAAATCATAAACATATTTTTTATTGATAGTGTGTTCCATTTACCGCTTTTGGTTGATCAGGTTATAGTTTGGCAAGACATTTTTGCCATGCCAGACTATCTAATGACTAAATTGCCGGAGGTACTATGGTCGTGATCCTAGATTTAAGGTAGAAATTCTCCGTTAGCTTATTAGATTGTTCGTGTGCTGTTGGTATGTCTGACTGTTTATAATTGTGTTCGGTAGGATAGTAACAGTTGTAGTGTCCTGTTATGTGTAGTCCGTATTTTAAAATTACTTTTATTTTGTCCATGTCTGTCAGTTTGGTGGAGTTGTCGCACTTTATGAACTATTTGTTTGCGTGATCTGTCAGTATGTCTTTGAGTTTCTGCAATTTTGCAATTAGCAGTCTGCGAATGTCGATGATTTTGTGTTTGCGTCAGTGGAAATGTCGTATATGTAGGCGGTCCCAGGATGAAGCTTTGCGTTACTCCTGTTACACCCTGTTAAATGCCAATTGTCAATATGTACTGAGAAGTTGCGGTTTGAAAGAAAATGAAAATAATAATATTGTGATGTAGGATGAAAAATTAGGGTTTAATAATTTCCTCTCATCCACATGCCTTCTCGAAGTCGACCGATATTATCGGGTATGGTTTTGTCTGTTAAAGTTAAGTACGGTGATTTCTATAAGTTGTCCCAATAGATCTGATGTCGATTGCTGTTTTTTTAACCCTGTGGTGTGTATCTAGAATATTTTGTTTTGTCTTATGTGTCTGTTGATGAAGTTACTTCGTTCATTGTTCTGAGGTGGCTGTTGGGTCTGTAGTTCTGTTTTATGTTTGGCTGTTTCTCTGATTTTAGTACGAGAAATATCGTGGATTTATTCCACAAAGCAGCGAAATCCAGTACTTGGTTATTATCCGGTTTGCTATAGAGTAGTATTAGTGCGTTTGTAAATAGTTCTTTGCGCAAAATGTTTTGTAGTTCATTTGGTTCTGGTACTTTCCACTTGGATGGTTTTTGTTTATGATTTTGAATTTCCAAACTGTGGGAGGGCCATACGTATAGGTGGGTTGTTATCCTTGTATTGTTCATTACAATTTCAAATGTTTTTCTATTAGTCTCGTCTCAGGTCTGATTTTGACTTAAAGACGTTTTCTTTGTGAACGTCTTCGAAGTTTGTTGCCAATACTTTAACTTATGGTATTGTGGCAAATACAAGTAGGTATATAAAAATTTAAATAAAAATAATCAATTTGAATTTACATTACCTTGGGTCCTAGTTGATCAAAACCACAAGCTGATTGTTTTAAGTAGTTTAATATGTTTTCATCCTTTCTGGAGGTTGGAAGTAGTTTCATGAGAGAATCACAAGAACGAATGCTAATACATGCTCCAAGAAAATTTTGCGGTGTTTTGCACTGCTGCAGGCATTCCTCAAAATCTAAAAATTAATATATTACAGAATAAAATTTTTTTTGACTGAAGATTTATATAAATATAAAAAATAAGCTGATAAAACGCAAACAAATAAAAATTGTTTATGACAAGATGCAAGATACCGTAAACAAATGCCACTTAGTCAGTCTTAGAAAAAAAAAATTAAATAAAATCATAAAAAATATATTTTAAATTTCTCATGATTATTGACAATGGCAATCATTAACTTCTCTCAGTTATATAAGACTAATAATCGAATGATCGTACTAATATGTAATATGGTTAATGGCAACTCAAACACTATAATATGTAAGAGGAACAAACATACTTTATTATAGCTTAGTGTAGTTTTTAATATTGAAACACATACTTTTTTATGTATTTTATACGCTTTTGTTAATATTTCAGAATATAAAAACACACAAAATAGTTTCATTAATCTGAGAATTTTCAACAAAATATAAAGTAAATGGAAATATTTGTTGATTGAAAATCTTTCTTGATCTGTGCAATGAACTAGTTTTGAGTGAAATCTTTTACTTGTTGTTGCAAATGTTTCCACAAAATTGCAAATTATGAATCATGAATAGCAAGCAGAATATAATCTCAATAATTTTGATAAGAAAAAATTTTAGGCATAAAGTTACTTGTATTTTTACAAAGGTGGAACTGAAATAACAAGAATATCTATTTATAAGACAAAAATATTCAACAACAACAATAGTGGTGTATGGCATTGTGTCTAAGAAAATTGCTGGCACTTCGCAAACTCAAATTAAAATTTTTAATAAACGTTTAACATTATTTAAAAACTTTGAGAATTTTGAAATTTTTGAAAAAATAGATTTTTTTTATATTTCAACATTTTTTAACTTCCCGTAGGGTAAGTTATTGTAATGGGCCGAAAATCGGCATTGAAAATTTTTACATTTCTCGACGTTTTGAAGGTTTCTGAACGTTTTGGCATACCTCAGAAAAAATGGATGTGTGTGTGTGTGTGTGTGTGTGTATGTATGTGTGGATACAAATTTCCAGTCACGTTTTAGGGCGCACGGATCAACCGATTTGAATGGTTCAAAAAACATTCGATTCCTGTTGATAGGAAAAAGAGCTGATTAGTTTTTGGCAAAGGCAGGTCCAGCCGTTTCGGAGATACGGAGCAAAGAGTGCGGAAAATAGAAATCGAATTTTTGAGAGAACGGAGTATCTGATTTGAATGATCTAAAAAACATTCAATTAGTAATGATTGGGAGAAGTGTTTATTAGTTTTTGGCAAAGGCAGGCCCAGCCATTTCGAAGATACGGAGCTAAATATGTAAAAAATGGCAGTTTTTGAGAGAACTAAGCGTCCGATTTGAATGATTCAAAAAACTTTCTGCTTGTCTTAACAAAATAATTGAGTTTGGAAAAAAAAATTTTGTTTCATTTTTTTTTTTTTTTTAGTTTTTTGTTGAAACAAATAATTTCAACTTTGCAATTCAGTTTATATAATTCTTATAAATATTAGACAATGTTACAATATTTATAATAATCTATTTGAAAACATTCAGTATTCCTCGAACATTTCGTTACGGTACGGGAAGTTCCAGCAATTTGCCTTAAGGCACGATGCCACCCACCCCACTAGTTTATACTTTGAATTATTCTGAAATTGAATTTTTTTCAAAGCAATCATGTTGTGTGGCTGTTTTAGAGAAAAAATATCGTAGCGCGTAAGCACCGCATCGCAGCAAAACATGTTAACAAAATTCATATTATTATTAAAATCTTTATAGAATATCTAATAATTTGATGTGCATAAGTATAATAGCGATTACCGAATGGCATTTGTTTCTACTTTTTTCACTTTGAAACTGTTAGACCTGCCTTTGCAAAAACTCAAACGGTACTTCATTTTGTCAATACAAATAAAATTATTTTTGCACCGAATCACCGGACCTGCCTTTGCCAAAAATGAATCATTACGTCTCCTTATCAATACGAATCGAATGATTTTTTGAATCATTCTAATCGGTTGATCCGTATTCCTGAAATTTTCTAAAAAAATTTGTATCCGCACACACACACTCACCTACATCCATTTTTTTAAAAGTATGCCAAAATGTTCAGAAACCTCTTAACCGTAAAGATATATAAAAAAAATATTTTGGATTTTTTTGCGATTACCATAACTTACTCTACTCTATAATTTTTTCTCTAATAATTGCCTAATTTAATACAAATTCAGAAACAGAGAACCCCACGTATCTTATTGAAATAAATAAAAAATAAAATAACTAAATATAAACAGTTATGAAATTATTGGTATGTATATTACTGATATCAGTAGTCAGTAATTATTCACATATGAAAAAAAAATATTTGAAGGTAAACTGGTATTCCCGGTTAATATTGAGAAGCTTGATTCCAACATTCATTGAAATCATTGAATTCATTCATTGAATCATATTGAAATATTTACTTAATAACAGAATATGTTATAGATACAAGACAAAATGTTAATAGTACAGTGAAATATAATATATGTTAAATTAATCAAATTGTTGTTATATAAATAAAATTGTATGCGGCAAACATTCATAAAATTTGCTCATATAAAATTATGAATTTTTTTTAATAATTCTACCATTCTATAGTTAAAAGTCTATTAATACATAAGCAATTAAAAAAAATTACAAAGTAAAAAAAAGCTAATATATTATATAGTTATTGATAACCCTTACTGTACAGATTAATAAATCCTAAAATTTTATTTTTTAGATTTACAAAAAAAACTTTTAACTCATACAGTTTAGTTTTACAGTGTGATCAGAAATTGAATATTTAACAATGTGGTCACAATTAACAAAATTAATACAAAATAAATTTATTATAAAATGTCAAAATCGAATTTTTAAAATATAAAATTTTTAGAAATAATATAGTAAAGAATTACCCACAGGTAAAATCTTTTTCGACTAATATGTAAAATATCATTTCTCAGTTTCATAAAAAGAAGATGTGACTGATGACCAAACAGGGGAAATACTACTGCACTTTGGAAACACCATATAAACTTTCTGAAGAAGTTTGTGTTTTTGCTAATTTTATGTTTTCTCGACGTTTCAAGCCATTCTGAATCGAATGAGATCAAATTTGGAAAAAGAGGGTGTGTGTGTATGTGAACAGATGTTTTGAAGTAAAACTTCTATAGGCGCGACTAGGGTGTAAATCCGTACAAATGCAACGGAAGTCCGTTACGACCGAACTGTTCATCAATCGCTCTCGATGAGATCATTTCTATACGGGTCGATTGTGATTAGTCGTCGTGTATGTGAATAGAAATCTGTCGTTGTATGCATGCCGGCATCAACATTGTATGCGTACCGATATCAACAAGGAAATCGGCATAAATAAATAAACATTTTAAAGTTACATAGTAGTACAAATCTTGATTTAATAAAAAATGCCTGAAGCCTGAATGGGTGAAGAATATTTCACCCTGTTTCTTGAAAACAATAAAACAAATGAAAGATTTGTGCCGTGTACTAAACGTAAGTTTATTGATTATAAATAATTTCTATATTATTCGTAGTTTCTATAAATCATTGAAGTTATTAAAATGAAACCTATTTTTAGGCAAAACAGATATTACAGCTGTTCAAAAAATGAGATTATATCACCAGCGAAAAAGTAAAAAAATACAAGCAGTCAATGAATGTGTGTTAATTTTAATTACATGAAGTTCTTCAAACACAATTGCATGATGAGTGAAGTTGCAAAAACAATATTTGTTTAGACGTTGTTTAACATAATCGACTATGTGAACAAATATTATAGAATTGATTAATCAGCAATTATTTTATTTCTCTAATGAAGGTTTATTTCTAAACCATTGGGCTTACCTTGTCCTGCAATTTCACCAATAACGATCAGAAAAATTATTGCAACACCTAGAATAGTTTTTTGCACAATTTCACACATATTAGAATAATAAAAATTGAAAGTTCTGAATATATAGCAGAACGATAAAATTATAAACCCTAAAAAATTTTGCAATAGATTTAATTTAATTAACGTTAAGTAAATGCCAATATCATCAGCAACACCTTTAAATTTTGCAAATTAAAGTTTATCCATTTCACTCATATATAATGTATTTTGCATATTTACTTGACAAGTTCAAAAATAATTTATTGAGTTGCTATCAATGAAGTATTTTACGAGTGAGTTACACGTGTAAAGTTGCAAATAATACTGACTCTTATTCAGACGTTTATTCCAATATTATATCCGATAAAAATGCGCAAAGAGGAGACCTAATATTTACACTTGAAAACAGGTCTTTTGCAAAATAAAGTAAAAATATACATAAAAATCCGTTATAATCATCAAGAGCGGTGACAAATTTGTACGAATTGTAACTTAGCAGAAGTTCTCAAATCGATGCAAAAATAAAATGTTTAACAACTTTTAAAAATAAAATAATGTCTTAATTTTTTTCTTTTTTCTTATTTCCTTTTTGTTATTTTTTAAAAATAAAAGTGATAATCTTAGAAATGTGATGAATCTAATTTTAACTAATTAAATTTTTTTGTATAAATAAAGGATATATTTTTATCCCTCAGTACGATCATATATACGATAGTTGTGTATAGCATTGTGCCTTAAGGAAAATTGCTCGAACTTTTCGTTCCGAGATGAAATATTCGAATAATCTGAAATATTCTCAAATATATTATTATAATACCATAACTTTCATTTTTTGTATTTTATAGACAAAAAATAAGAGCTTAAGTAATGATAATAAATTGGACGATGACGTTTATATAAGTTTACATGAAAAGTAAATAAACAAAACTTAATGAAGCGGCTGGTTATATCTTTGCATAAACCTAATCATCATTTCTCCCCATCATTACGAATTGAATGTTTTTTGAATGATTCAAATCAGATGCTCCGTACTCTCCAAATTTCGATTTCCATTTTATGCACTCGTTGCTTCGTATCTGAAAAACGGCTGGACCAACTTTTGCCAAAAACTAATCAGTACATTTTTTATCCATAGAAAAACTATAACTATTAATTTAATTTATCTCTTGCAAATTTGCTCTTCTTAACTTAATCTACTTTTTATTTACGATTTTTTTATTGTTTATTGCCAGTGTGAAGGTTTAGTTGGTCCTTCTTACCCCCCATAGAAATCGAATGGATTTTGAATAATTCAAATCGGTTGACCGGTGCTCCCATAAACGCCGACAAAAAATTGTACATACATACCTACATACATGCACACATACATACATGCATACATACATACATACATATTACATTCAACCACACACACACATCCATTTTTTCTAAGGTATGTCAAAATGTTCAGAAACCTCTAAAACGTAAAGACGTGCATAAGTTTCATTTCACCATTACCGACATTTCAGAAAACCGATTTTCTTATCTTAATTTTTTCCGGAAAACCGGTTTGCTTTAAAGCAATTTTGTTAATAATGAAAAAAATATGCAATTTAGCAAAAAATAGAAATAATAGTTGACCTAGATTGAATAACTTCAAAAATGATTATTCATCGTTTATGCATAGTAGCCAGAATAAACATCACGTACCAAACAATCAGCTATCAAACATACATCAATCTGTGGTCAGTAAAATTCCCAATTAAATCCTAATTATACAAATATATGTTGTTTATAACATTGTTTAGCTATTTTCCTAAAATTTGTCACATATCCTTCTCCCAAAATTTGTCATCTGTCTCTTTTTACTCCATAGGCTGGTTAAAAAGGGCCACCCTTCAGACAAACAGATCCGATGTCTTACTTTAAATAAATATTAAATAATGGTTAAATTATTCAACTAATGCAAAATAAAAATTTTATAGGCACATTTTTAAACCGTTTATAACATCGATCTGGTATATCGTGAGAAATATTTGACATCAAAGATAAAATAACTATTAGTTTAATTTATCTTTTGCAAAATTGCTTTCCTTAACTTAATCTAGTTTTTATCGAACTACTTTTTCTTATTGTTTATATCTTTGCCAGTCTAAAGGTTGAGTCGATCCTTCTTACCCCACTCACATGTAAGCTTTTAAAGAAACTAAATCTCTAACTCAGAAATAATAAATCATCTTATAGAACAAATAAATGCTTAAAAATTATATTAATTATCTGATAAACTAAACAATAGTGCTCATTTCCAAAAAAACTAACAAGAAAAGAAAATACTGTTGAAATAAATTTTCAAACATTGCCATTTATCTCCCTATAGCAACTCCGCAAAAATTAAGGTAATGGCTGTTTATACATTTTTTCCCGCTACTTTCAAATATTATTGATAAAAAATTCTTAACTTTAAAAATAAATGCTGCATAGAAATTATTTGTTCATTATAAAAAAAATATTTCGTGATATGAATATTTTTAGAGACTGCTGTATCAACCCGAATAAAAACATCGAGAGCGTTAAATTTACTGTTATTTTTCTGACGTAAATTGAAAAATATGCAATTTAATCCAATTTTTATAATATGCATATTACCAAATATTTGTACAGTGACGTTTTTAAAACAGTTGAGCCTTTTTTAAAAAAACAAGTGGTGTATGGCATCGTACCTTAAAGCAAATTGCTGGAACTTACCGTAATGAAATGTTCGAAGAATATTAAATGTTTTCATATAGAGTGTATGAATACTGTAACATTGTTAAGTTGCAAAGTTAAAATTATTCAATTAAAAGATATAAGTGAGCTTTAGAATTTTAGCCACAATTAAAATTGAAATCTGAATTATTTTCGAACCGAAAATAATTCAGATTTTCGGTTTCGAATAAATTTCCGAATTATTTTTCGATATACAAAAAAAAATTCTGAAAAAAGAGATTTTTTTCTAAAAGCAATTGTTTTTGCCAACACAAGCAGGAAGTTTATTGAATCATTCAAATCGAATGCTTAGTTCTCTCAAAAACTGCTATTTTTGGCACTTTTAGTTTTGTATCTTCGAAATGGCTGGACCTGCATTGCCAAGAACTAATCACCACTTCTCCCAATCATTACAAATTGAATGTTTTTGGATCATTCAAATCGTATACCCCGTGCTCTCAAGAAACCTCTGAAACGTGAAGATATGTAAAAATGTTCATTGTCGATTATCGGCCCATTACTATAACTTAACCTACGGGAAGTTAAAAATCAAGTACCTCAAGTTCTCATTATAGTTTATCGGTTATTGGTGTTAATTTCAATTTGAAAATTGATAGTTGAAAGTTTTTTTTAAATTAATATCTATATACTTAGCACCCTCATTATTCAAAATTACGATGTAAGTTTTATTAGATTGTAATTTTAGAATTCAAAAAACGCAAACTTGTAACAGAAACAATTATAAATTATAATTGCTAATTGAATTTAAACTTGTCTTCATTCAAATCACATGAAAGTTATTGATTATTATTCGAGTGTGAGTAATAAAACTTTGCTTAAAATGAGATTGTTTTTTTTTACTAAATAAAGATGTGAGAATGAAATAATAAATAACCTTATGCCAATACTGGTGATTGAATGGAATGAAATTTAGATTAATGATTATAATCATATTGATTCATTTTCGGACTAAATGCCATAGTACTATTTCGCCAGTTCTTTTGAGGCCGAGAAAAAAATTTTAAATCAGTCAAATGTGATTGACTTTTAACTTCTACTCTAATCACTTTTAAAAACAGACCAAAAGATCTATCGGTAAAAAGAAGAAACTCGCATTTGTTGCAAAAAAAATAGTAATCACCACATGCAAAAGCATCTAATTCCCAACTATAGTGCTTAACCAAATAACATTTAAATATTTTCATCTTAGTCCCTACTTGACTGCTAATGATTTATTACTGCATAAATTAAAATGCTTCGAACAAAATATTACTTAAAGAAACTGATTTTCATTTTTTTCATAAAACACAAAATGTATAAAGATATTTTACATCAACTACCAAAAAAGTAAAAAATAATCGTTTCAATTAATTTATGAAGCATAATAACTTAACAATTTTATGTATATTATTATTGCTGTAACTTTTCAACAATCCAAGGCATATACGCAGATACTCGAGTATATACCCCAGGAAATCCAGGTTCAGCACATCTGTATCCATAAGAAACGATACCTATTAAAAAGTAGACTACTCTGTGTGCAGATTCTCCTCCTACAGTCTGAAATTATATATTCAAAATACATCAATTATTTTTGTTAACTTTCCATTTACACACATAATTGGGTCTAGTAACTATTAAATCTATATAAGATCGATTTTAATTATAGCACTGCATATAAAAAATCATACTTACTCCTATTATCAACAATTAATATTAAAATTAGTAATTTGAGAAAATTATTTCATACCATGGGCCAAAAAAGAGGTCCTCCACTATCACCCGAGCAAGCATCTTTACCACCTTGTTCGTAGCCGGCGCATATTACTCTTTCATCTATTATCTGTAATAATTTTAATTAATTTTACTCAAAAAGGTTTAAACTCAAAAGGAAAAATTTACACTTGGCAGAAAATCCGACTCGGAAGTTTTCCCAAGGTTCCAGACCTAATTCAAAAAAGGCCTAATGTTTGACATCTCATCGACGATTTCTCACAAGCGCCTGATCAAAAATTTATATTTACATTCTAAAAATTTGTAATTTTATTGAAAATTTGTAAATTTTTTTAACTTCTTCATTTTTTTTGAAAATATTAAAATTTCTTGATAATTTTGAAACCCTTTCAAGTTGGTTGATCCATACTTTCGAAATTGTCAAGGTTATTTGTTTATATTTACGCTTTAAATTTTACGAATTTTGGTACGGAATCCATGGAAATGAAAACAAATATCAAGTTATTGAAGTAAAACTTCTTTAGGCGCGTCTAGAGTGTAAATCCGTACAAATGCAACGGAAGTGAGTTACGGCAGATAAGAGTCGATAAGAT